TTCCTTTTTTTTTTTTTTTTTTTTTTTTTGTACAAAAATCAAAAGTCAATGTTAGCCTTTTACGTCTGGTCCAAATCTCAGATTTTCCAACATTCGTTTCATATTATTATTATTATTATTATTTTTCTCCCAAAAATTAACATTTGTTTTTTACTATTTTTGTTTATCTACTTTCTTTTATATTTTTTACTTTTCTTCATTGTAGTTAATTTATTTTTTAATTTTTAAATTTTGTAGGAGCGTACCCGGGTTGAATCGATGGAATCTTTTAAACTAACTCGAAATTTGAGTTGATCGAATTGGTGACTTGAGCAACCCGGAATAAAATTCATAACCCAACGTTCAAATTTTGAGTTAGATTGTTAAATTATTATTTTTTTAATTTCTATTTATCTACCATAACTAAAACCTAATAAAATCTCGTCCGTTACAAATATCAAATATTCTTAATCCACGCACTAATCTTACAAGTAAGGAAGGGTTGGATTAGGTTGTAAGCCTGTTTTTGGGTTAGTCGGGTTAGTTGGGTTGACTTAATTAAAAATGTCAACGCCTTTTGAATTAGGTTGTAACCCTGGGTTAGTCAGGTTAGTTGGGTTGACTTAACTAAAAAATGTCAACACCTTGGACTGGTTGAGCAAGTTGCGTTAACTCAACTAAAAAAAATGTAACTCTGTCAACTCACATGAATTTTTTATTTTCTAAAAATTTAACTCAGCTTACACTGAAAAGAATTTTATGAGTTTTTTTAATTATTTAAAAAAATCATACTTATTCACGGTACATATTATATTAGTAACTAAGCATTATAAAGTTAAAATGTCTAATATTTACAAGTCATACTGTATTACTAACATCTTTAAAATTATTAAATATTCTTATTTTTTTCAAAAATAAAGTAGTGTTTTGTCCCATTAACCCGACTAAAAAAAGTCAACTTAGAAAGCAAACAAAATTTTTAATTACTATGGTAAATAATGGTGTGCCTGGTGAAACAACTGTTCAAACTTTTAATAAATAATATTGTAAATAATATTACGTATCTTTCAATTTTTTATATCAATTTAAAGTAAAAAAATTCGACAACATTTATGGAAAATATTTTAATTTAAAAATAAAAATAAAAATTTTCAAAATCTACTAACATAATTAGAATATTTTCAAATATTTAATTTAATTTAATTATAACATGACATAATAAACATATTTACAAAGATTTGGAAGATCAGTATGGACAAAAATATTAGGATTAAATTGGAAATTTTATTTAATAAATATGTAATAAATAAAGGTTTAAACGGAATTTTTTTCAAAATAAAAAGCCGAGAAAATAGTCCAAATAAGTAGGAAATTTTGTTTAATTTAATTTAATTTTGGTTTTTTATTTTTTTATTTTAATTTATTTTTAATGTTCTTGTCTTTTCAATTTTGGTGGCTAAATTTTTGTCCATTTCTCGCAACAATTGCTTTTAATTAAATTTTATATATTTTAAAATTTTAATTTATTTTCTTTTCTTTAAAATAAAAATGAAATAAAATTGAAAATAATGGTGAGAGAAACGTGGAAGGGGGGAGGGGTATTTTGGGTATTAAAAAGGGACAGTACAGGGACAAAGAGGTAACTCAGAGACGCATTGAATAGCTGCTCAGAATGAGAGGTCCATCCAACGGTCGTCCTTCCTCTCTTCCAATCTGAACGTCTCTGATTTCCCCATATTTTTTTAAAATAGTTTAATTTTAAAAAAAAATATTTGACGTCGACGCCACAGTTATGATCTTCATTTTTTTTTTCCTTTTTTTTCTCTAACAATTTTATTTCTTTAATTAATTAAATAATTAATTATTTGATTTCCCTTTTCTCTCTTTCTGTTCTTCTTCTGTTGGGGATTGTGAAACTCGAAGATCGGATCCAGCGCTTTCTCTCGCTTTCCAAACCCTAAAACCAGAAGAACCAGAAGAAGAACAAGAACCAGAAGAAGAGGAAGAAGAAGAAGAAGAAGAATACCGAAGGTTTTCCACCTTTTCGCCATTGACGTTTCTTTTCGATCTGTTCGTTCTTCAATTCTTGAGTTTTTTCTGCGCAGGTTTTCGTTTGTTTCCGTTTTATCCATGGACTTTACTGCGATTCAAACCAGTTGAGGACGAACGAGCAATAATCTCAGGTGAGTTTTTCGTCCTTTCTTCTTCAAATATATTTGGAAAGCAAACGAAGCTTCTCGCAATAATCTCAGATTGAATCGCTACTTTCAACGTTGACGCTCATTTTAGTTTTGATTTTTATGTTTCATTGTTTTCTGTTCCACTGTCGCTCTCTCTCTCTCTTTTTCTTTTTCTTTTCCTGAAATCTGTGTTGTTGGAACCTATTTTGGCCGATCAGATTCTTCGCTTTTGTTTTTTTCCTCTCTTTAATTTAATCCGTTTCACAAGAATCCAATTCCATGGCTACATATGTGTCTGTGTGTGTGTGTATATATATATACATTTTTTTTTTTTTTTGTTTTTTTTGTTTTTCAGTCGTTGAAGAAAAAACGGAAAGTGATTTGGTAATAGAAGAATGTCATCGTCGAATTCACCATGTGCGGCGTGTAAATTTCTTCGGCGAAAATGCACACAAGAATGCGTGTTCGCGCCGTACTTCCCACCGGATCAGCCGCAGAAATTCGCTAATGTTCACAAGGTGTTTGGCGCAAGCAACGTGGCGAAACTTTTGAATGAGTTGAACGCGTCGCAGCGTGAGGACGCAGTGAACTCATTAGCCTATGAGGCAGAGTTTCGTCTGCGAGACCCAGTGTACGGATGTGTCGGCCTTATCTCTGTCCTACAACACAAGCTAAAGCAAATGCAAAGCGACCTGTACAATGCCAAAAAGGAACTGGCCAGTTATGTTGGCCCTCAAGCAATGATTCCAATTCTTCAGCCTTCCACTGCCATTATGACCACTAACCCTCAAGGACCCGTCACTAGCCCTTCCTCCTCCGTCCTACTTCCTTACAATATGTCCCCCATGTTTGGGATTCCCTCTTCTGGCGGCGGTGGCTCCTCCCAACAGATGCTCATTCGTGAGTCGCCCCATCAACAACAACAACATCAACACCAGATACAGCAGCAGCAGCAGCAGTTGTTTGAGGCTCAGCAATTGGCTGCGGCAGTAGCGGCCAGAGAGCAGCAAGAAATGTTCAGAGCGTACGAGCAGAAGCAAACCCAGCAGCAGCAGCAGCAGCAGCAGCAGCAGCAACAGCATTCTCCTTCCCAACGCCAACACGAGCTCTTGAGGTTCAATGGGTTTGACCCGGCTGGTGTTGGTGCCGGTGCCGGTGCCGGTGCTGGTGGGTTTAATAATCAGATGAATTCGCCTTCAGATTTGACATTGGGAACTTTTCCCGACAATAGCTACCAAATTCAAACGCAACCAGAACACTCCCATTCCCATTCCCATTCCCACCATCATCATCCGCTTCAAGTACAGCTATTTCCTCAACCTCAGCAAACTCAGCTTGACCAATCACAGCAACAGCAGCAGCAGCCCCATCCACACCGATCGCAGCAAATCCACAAGCCTGAAGCTACTGCAGATGATGGTAGGAATATTAACATTGGACCCTCTTGTTGATTCTTTTTTTTTTTTTCTAATGAATTTTCTCGTCTAGGTATTAATTTTTTGTTGTTACATTTTAGCATCTGGTTTATGATATATCCTTGTGCATGCCCCAAGGTCTTTTTTGTTTTTGGATGGTGATTAAGACAAGACTGTTTCATGGGAGGGTTTAGTTTTAATGGGTCGGAGCATAGAGCATGCACAGGAGGATAGTTCTTAAACACTAGATGCGTTTTGCATTTATGAATCCATTTTCATGCTCTTTTTTTTTTTTTTCTAAAAAAAAAATAATGGTATTTTTAAGCTCTGTCTGATCGATCTGATGATGCCTTTTTTCTTTTTTTTTCTTTCTTTCTCACAAATGGTGCAATATTATTTGGTAGCAGCAGAAAGGCTAATTTACTGTTTATTGAATAGAGACATGAGAGAGGGGGCTGTGTTGTTGGGGGTCCTAGAAGAGGAATTATTGTCTTTTCACTGCCATGGGATATGTCTCAGTCATTGCCTATAAATGGAACCCCCATTTCAGAAACTAAACTCCCCATTCCTTTCTTACACTGTTTCTTCCTCTTTCAATACCATTTTTTGTTGCTTAACAAACAGGACAGATCTTCTATTATCTTGTAGGCTACACCACACTCTTAGCTGTTTCATTCTTCTTATATGTCTGCTTCTTATTGCATTCAAACAACTCAAATAGTCAAAGAGTGCATTTGCACCCTAAAACCCCCCTCCACTCCGTTTGGGGCCAGTATCCTTACTAGCACACTGTCTCGTGTCCACCCCTTTGAGTCTCGACCTACTCACTGACACATTACCTGGTGTTTGACCTTGATACCATTTGTAACCGCCCAAACCCATTGTTAGGAAGAGATTTTCACACCCTTATAACGAAGGAATGTTTTGTTGTACTCCCTATGGGAGTGGGATCTAAGAAAATGTTTATTGATTTGTAAGAGGGGTGAAGGCAACCCAGCAGCAGCAGAGCACGTGCAGGAGTAGAAACTTGAAGTCGTAGCTAGGGGTAGCCCTTGATTACAATATGGGGGTGGGAAGAATTCTTCTTCCTTGAAAAGTTTCCTGTTTTTGTGTTGTTTATTAATTCATTCATTCATTCATTCATTCATTCATTCACATTGGGATCCGTTGAATGAAGCCAAGGAGTGAGTGATGAAATGAAATAGAGTTGGGGGCATTGGAACTGTAATAGATAGATCACGTTCATACAAAGAGAGACAGGGGGGGTGAAGAGGGATGAAGTGTGTTGAAAAGGGATGGAAGTTTATAAAAGGATATGCATGTGCGTTGATGTTTAAAATAATGGGGGTGGGAGATCCACCAAATTCACATCGGAAAACAAATATTAGATTAATTAATATTGAATCAAAGTAAATACCGTCGTTGTGGCATCCAATGAATTTGCTGCAAGTACCATCCACTTGCCTCTTCCTCTCTTCCTCCTCCATTAATGTTCTTCAATCACAAGTTTCTTCCCACTCCATTTTTCGATGATTTCTTTTTTATTTTATATATATATATTTATATATATATATATATAGAGAGAGAGAGAGTCAACTAGTTCATATTGTGAAATTGGAGATTCAGTGTGCTAGGTTGCTGTTTTAAGAAGACTGAGAATTTTGATTTTTTTTTTTTTTTTGTCTAAAAAAGAAAACACTAAATAGGTTAAAAATACTTTTGGGTCGTTGCAATTTAATCCATGTGTAAGGAGTTTTATTAATATTTTGTTTTCAGGGTTTCGGGATTAAATGATTACTTATTAGAGAATATAGGGACTAAATTATTAGAAATTTGAAGGGTAAGAATTAAATAATTAAAAACTAAAGTTTAAGGACTATATTGTTAATTTCATAAAAGTTCAGGATTTAAAAGAATCTCGTTCGGACCATTTTTTAATAAATTACGAGACGTTAAGGCACAAATCCGAACACAAGATTCATTTGGTATTAGACTTCATTGTGAGAAACTGACATGATTCGAGCAAAGTCGGTATAACATTAGACAACATTTCAAGCGAGTTCATTGGGTTTTTGTTGGTGATGTAAGTAAACATGGAGTCAAATACATGCACCATTCCCTCCCTTAGATCGATGCATGCGAGCAACTAATACCTTCCAACGACCTAACCCACCCACCCACACAGTTCCATCATGGCCCATGTCCAGCTTCACCCATGCGCCTCAATCCGCTAACAACCCAACCCAATCCAACCCTTTATAATAACCCGACCCACGAAGATTTCAAAATTTGAATTGGGTTATGAAGCCTAGGGTTAATAAGTTGGTGGGATTAATAATTCTGTGTTTGGGATGCTAGAGTTGTCCGAAGTTTTAAAGTCTTTGTAGCATAAATCCAACGTTAGCAAAACTTAAAATGCTCTATTCAAGCTGTTCTCAACCTTATCTTCCCTCTATTCTTTCTACAAATTGTAGGTTTACTTCATATGAGTCGAAAGGAACCAATCTCACATCTTTCATTTCAAGCTTAAGGAAGAATTTCAAAGTTCGAAGATTTTGGTTTGATACAAGTCTCTTCAGCTCTCGATTTCTCCAGGAAAGTTGTTATTTGAATTTAGAGCAAGCTTTTTAGGTAACAATCTTGAACTCTCGTGCCTTAATTTTCAAATATTTAAATATTTCTCTAGCTTTTTGTTCATTACAAGAAATAGATATTTCAACACTTTTCGCTAAAAAAAATGTATTTTATATAAGTTAAACTATACTCATTTTAGGGTTGACTTTAAAGATGTTTACGAGGTGGGCCAGGGACGGGGAAACCTTTCCCATCTCCATCCTCGCCTCCTTTTTCATTCCATGTTCCCATAATATTTTTCGTTTATTTTTCTGGGGATCGGATTCTTCACAAATAAATTTTTTTATATTTTTATTTTTTCCTGTAAAAATAGTTCTTTTCTAATAATATCATTTCCATTTTACAATATAATTTTTTTTATATAGAAAATGTAACAAAAAAATCTAATATAAGATGATGATCCATTTGTAAAAAGTGATACCGAGTCGAGTTGGGTTGAACAAATTTTTTAGATCAACCCAAGTTCGGGTTGGTTGAATTGGTAACTCAGCCCAACCCGAAAACTTTCGCAACCCAACCCAACCCAATCTTCTATTTTGAGTCGTTAAAAAAATTAATTTTTAAATTTATTTATTTATTTATGGTTGAGAAATGAGAATGCTGAAAATTATGGTCGGTACCCTTAATTTGTGGAACATGTTCAAAATACAATTAGCTCAAACTCTCAACTCGAGTCGGCCCAAAGGCCCATACTCAGAACCCCAAGCTCCACTCTGCATAAACCCTCGTACAGCTTGTTGCTCCGCTCAACTCCTCGCTATTCCGGCTGCCATTGTTAATATCTCCGACCGATCATGGCCAAGTGGTGGCGCTCCACCGGAACGAACCTTAGGTTGTTGGCGCTTTCCAGCGCTAGATCGGAACCGTTTCCATTTTCATCATCTCGAGCTGCTTCTTACCATACTATCCAAGCCATCCCCAGAGAGTGCAGCGGCAGCAGAATTTCAACCAGAGATAGAGCGCAGGGAAGAATCCCCGCCGTTGTTTTCAGTCAACAACTCCTTGAGAAAAACTCCATCCACGGATCGCCGTCGCGGAAGCATCTGCTCACTGCAGAGCGGAAGCAAATCCACTCCATTCTCAAGTCCGTTGAGCTCCCTTTCTTTTGCTCCACTAGGTTACAGCTCCAAATCCGTGCTGGTTCTGGATCTTCAGTCCTCCTTGAATCAGGATCAATCCTTCCAATCAAAGTAAGCCATTCGTTTGTCTCCACCGGTTTGTTTGTGTTTAATTCAACTTGATTTTTCTTTCATTTTCTTGTTATGGAGTGATTGCTTGGGATTTTTCAGGTTCACAGGGATGAAGAGACCGGGAAGATCTTGAATATGGTGTTTGTATGGGCTGAGGAAGGCTCGGAGTTGAAGGTAGATGTGCCAATTGTTTTCAAAGGGGAAGAGACTTGCCCCGGTCTTCAGAAAGGTAACCAACGAAGATATCTTACTTTAATTCTCAACCTGACGCAGTCGTATTCTTGGTTTCTTAGAGCAAGATATAAGTAGTCGTAGTCTTGTGGAATTAATTTACAAAAATAAGGCGAAAGTGCAATTGTCTAAGAATTTGTGTCCTTTTTACACGGTGTTATCAAAATTCCCCCTGGAGGGTGCTTTCACCGAAGAGGAGGTAGGGAAGGGGATTAAGCTTTTGGACCCCGATAAAACTCCGGGGACTGGATGGTTTTACCTCCGAATTCTTAAAAAAATGTTGGAACATTCTGAGAGCAGATGCATGAGAGTGTTCCAAGATTTTTTTAGAATGAAATTATCAACGGAAACTTGAATGAAACATATATCTATTTGATTTCAAAGAAATGATTACTTTTGCCCCATAAATCTTTTGTTGGAGAAGTTCTATCATATAACATTATAAGATTTATGATTACTAGGCAGCATATAACATTTGAGAGGGATGTTAGATTCTTGATACATTCCTCATGACAAACGAGTTAATAGACTGTTGGAAAAGGAGGAAACAAACTGGTGTAGACATCAAACTTGACCTAGAAAAAACCTTCAGTTGGACTTTTCTCGAGGCGCAAAATGGTATGGTGGATAAAAGGTTGCTTCTCATCCACAAATTTCTCCATCATCATCAATGGAAAGTTGAAAGGAAAAATCTAGGCTACTTTGGGTCTTGGACAAGAGAATTTACTATCCCTTTTTCTTTTCATATTGATAATGGATTGCCATAGTTGCTTACTCACCTAGGCAGAATACTAAGGCATACAAAGGGCTTTTAGGTTGGTAACAAAGACTTAAAGTATCGACCACTTCTAGTTTGCTAATGACACAATCCTCTGAGTGTTGATAACATAATTCTTTTCTTTGAATTAACAAATGTCCCCTCCATAAAAACATGTTTGAGAAGGTAAAAATCTTCGAGAAGTTTTTGGGACAAAACATCAACCTTCAAAAAACAGGGATGATGGACATTAATGTTAGCATAAAGGATATCAAAGACTTTGTCAACAAATATGGTTTAAAAAGCGTGAATGATCGAATGTACCTAGGATTACCCTTGAATGGGAACCCCAAATCCTTCTCTTTTTGGAAGACCATTATTGAGAAAATAAAAAATAAAAAGTTACCATTATGGTCATCATTTTAAACTTCTAATGCGCAAGGCTCACCCTAATACAAGCTACACTGTCCAGCCTTCCCACGTACTATATGTCTCTATTTGAAATGCCTCTGAAGTGGCTATAGAAAAATAAAGATCATTGAGAAACTCTATGTAGAAAGATGACCCACACCTTGTGATATGAACCAAGACCAAGAAATTTTCATACCTCAAGGTCCAATTACAAGGACAAGAGCCAAGAAGTTACAACGAGTTTTAGTCACTTATATTCAAGCTAGGATGAGCTCATCAAAGAAAATTGTAGAATACGTTGAAGTCCTTCCTTACACGCGATGCAAAGTTGAGCTTCAAGATATAGATGAATTAAATGCATTTTAATTTGCATTTAATGAATTCATAGTTGAATTTATGAAACTTAGTCCAAGGATGGTTACTAGATAGCGCATTTCTTTTATTGAATTATTTTAATAGTAATTTCAATATTTGTTTATCATTAAGCTAGTTTTAATATGAGAGTTAAGGTTATATTGTAACCCACATATCTCACTATATTCCATCATTAACCAGTCCTTTTAATATGGAGGTGGTGTATTTCTCATTAACTAGCCATTTTAATACGAAGGTTATGTACCTATTTAATTCACATAGGTTAAGGTTGTCAAAGACCATATAAAGTGTTAGATCTGGGTCTTATCTATATTTTGTTTTCCCTAAGATCTTCCAAATCGTTTTTTTTAATGGTAAATTGATTGGATTTTGAAAATATGTCACAAAATATAGCCTTTTCAACCTTAATCTACGTGAGTTAAATACACACTTAACCTCCATATTAAAATTGCCAGTTAATGAGAAAATATGGTAACCTAGAACTTCCGACTAGTTAATGAGAAAAATATGGTAACCTAGGTGGGTTATAATATAACCTTAACTTCTATGTTAAAACTAGCTTGAATGATTAACAAATATTGAAATTACAATTAAAATAATGCATAAAAGAAATGCTCTATCTAGTAACATCATTGGACTAAGTCCCATAAATTCAACTATGAGTTCATTAAATGCAAATCCATTTAATGAACTCATAGCTCGAATATAAGTGACTAAAGCTCGTTGTCACCTCTTGGCTTTCGTCCTTGTAATTGGACCTTGAGTTATGGAAATTTCTTGGTCCTGGTTCATATCACCTTGTCCGATAGAATACTATAAACCTTCCAGTAAACAAGGGAGGACTCGTCCTATATTTGATAAAGGAGAAGAACAAAGCTCTCCTCTCGTCAAACGAGCACAAAGGCGCCTCCTTGTGTAGAAATCATATAAAGGCTAAATATGCTCCTACGTTATGGACAAGCCACAAAGGAGTCACGGAAGTATATAAAAAAGCTCCAAAACCTTATCACCATCTGCATTTGCCAAAGATTGGGTGATGGAGGAAACTCATCTTGCTGGATTAACCCTTAGATTGACAACACCACACTAGCCTTGCGGTATCCTCTTTTGCATAGATTCTCACAATGCAAAATGGCCACGACCAAAGAAACATGAAAAGACGTTAACAAAGCTAAGAAATGAATCGAATTAAGCCTTGACTTTACCTCAATTGTATTGTCTAAAAAATCAGTCTCGTTGAAATGGTACCTTGCATTGACGGGGTCTTCCCCACAAAGTCTTTGACGATGGATATGGAGGAAAAGGTAGAAGCAATAAACCCCTCACTAGCAAAGGCAATATGTAAAGAAAATCATCCTTAAAAGGTAAAAGTTTTTTCTATGGAGAATGGTGCATAAAGCCCATTAGCACAACTAGAAACTTATAGCAAAGAATGTCGGACATTATTTCCTAATTGGTGTCCATTATGCAAGAAAGATAATGAATCACAAAACCATTTATTTATGCAGAGTGTCACAACCATACTATGAAGAGAGTAGGTTGTGACCCTCATATAAAGGCAGATAAGGTGGCAACACGGAAGTGGCGCCCAACTAGCCAAGCAAGGGCTGAGGTAGACAAGTATCATGATGCAACTGAGGAGGACGGTGCATCATTTAACACATCACTAAGATGTGCATGAAAACCCAAAATGAGACATAGGCAAGAAAGAGGTAACAGTGTTGACGTGAGTGTCAAAGATAGGCTTGGTAAGGTCAGGTAGGGCCTTGGGCCTTAATCTCAAAAGTCAGGGTTCTAGAGGACATTCAGGAATGTGGCTTTGGAGTTAAGCCCATCCATATGAAGTATGAATGCTCACGAAATTCGATATCAATCAGACATCGGATGGACGTTTCACGACGTCGTTTGACTGTTCGCCAAAATCACGTCTACTCCAGGAAGACTGAAAATGACTCAAAACGTACCTTAGGGGGGCATGATGTTAGCTCTCCACCACCCCTGGGCCCTATGGCCTAAGCGAGCTACCCTGTGGCACATATGTGTGTCACAGTGAGGGTGAGCGTTGCAAGATGAGTGTCTCGGATGACTTCCTTTGAATGGGTCTTTCAAAGACAGTGTCAGACGACACGGATGTGCCGATATGTGCCCCAGTCCATGTGTTGGAGGTCGGATCATACACCTGCTATCCTGTATAGAGTCCGTAAATGATATGACATGGACACAAGAGGGTCCAATACCTCGATAGGCCCGGATGGATGGATGTTCGAGATGTCCTGATGTTATGAGAGACAAATGGGTCCGTTCTTGATGAGCATGACCGAGCAAGCTAAGTTGGCTGATGACTTTTCGGGACTTGGGATGACATCATGACATGAAGACCATGTTAATTGGAAACCCAGATGATGTTGGGACATGACGTTGCTTACGAGAGACCTTGGTCCGGTTAAAGACAAGGTCGAGGCAGAGGACTTGGTCTATTGTGGAGGCAAGTCAAATTGAGTTGCAGATGATTGAATATGCACGCACGCATAAACGACGTGTGTGGCCCCGCTGGATGAGCTTGATTACACACAAGTTGTGTTCGGTGGGTAAAGACAACCTCACCTAAGGCCCGAAAAAGCCACAAAGACGGACGACAAATGAATATGGGGACTTGAGTTCCCCTCAAGGCTTGTCGTGAGCATGTCAAGATCACAACACCACGGCGTTGAAAATGTACGACCGTGACATGGTATACACTTATGACTTTTGGACAAAAATTCTCAATATTTTTAGATGGCGTCTCACTTTTTCTAAGTATGCAAAAGAGTTATTAGATATGACCTTAATGAACTACACATTTAAGAACGAAAAAGCCTTGTCATGGACAAATCTCATTAGGGCTTCCCTTTTGGAGTCTATGGAAAGAATGAAATCGAAGAGTATTCACGGGGAAACACAGACATATACTAGGCTTTTTGAAAATGTTGTTTACAACGTCATTTCTTGGTGTAAACTTTTGCTTCCTATAGTCATACTTCCCTTGTTGTATTGAGAAGGTACTTTGTAAGCATCATGGATAACATATCCCTTTGGTAAATTTCAAATATTAATGAATTTTTTTCCATTGAGGAATTAGTTTATTGAATCCAGAAAATATACTTAGCCGTCTGTGCACTTCTTATTGTTGCCAAGGTGACCCCGAAGTTTTATCTTAAGAGAAGCAAAAAAGTTAGTTGTAATTGGTTTCGCAATTTGGTCCCATCACTTTGACTTTCCTTTACTGTACAAAAGCGCACACCCCACTTTATAGTTCCAAGAAATTTCCCAAGACAAGATATCATAAAACGCAAAATAACTATAAGAAGGCTTCCCAACAAAAACTAATACTAGAGGGTGTCTAATTCTTAAATTGTTCGGAATAATACTCCAAGAAGCTGTGCAATATTTAATCATCTCAAAGCTTTCTTTCCTCCTGGGTTGCTCGAAGATTCTCTGTTTTCAAGTCTAAAGACCTCACAGAAAATAGCTTTAACCAATTGTTGATTCCAGGAACTTTAGCTTTCGTTTGTAATCTATGCCTCAGAGACATAAAAATGTTGTTTTTAGCTATTAAATCATATACTTAATATGAGAATCCAACTCGGGAATGCTGTGAATGTGAACTTAAACCATGATAGTTTCTACATCTCAGGTGATTGTGGAGTTCATTGAGACTTGAGAGTTTGCATCGACTACATTTCTTTAGTTCTTACTTCAAAGTATTTTGTACCATTTTTGTGAGCCATGTTAGACCCTGTTAGTCATTAATGATAAGCAATGATCTTAAGATGCATTGGCTGATGAGCTGTATCATGAAGCATTGACGTTTTGGGAAATATATGACATTTTCTGAAGTTCAAACTATGAACTATGGCCAAACTTAGGTAGATGCACCATTAGCCTTTTCAACTTTTGTTCTCTAATAATGGTACCCTCTGGCCTGCAAGGCTTTTGCAAATTTGCTGTCTGTTGAATTTGATAGCCACAGTTCAGTTAATGATTATGCTGTTTAAACATGGTAAATAAAAGAAGGTCTTGATTGCTATCTGATCGTAGCTAGGATGATAAAGAGTTGGACAATTGATATGGTATAATTAAGCAAAACTTGTATTGTGGTCTTTGTCTGCCTGTCAACTGTTCTTCTGAAGTCTGATACCTTACTTTTGTGGAAAACAGGAGGTCAACTGAATAGGATAAGAACTAGCCTAAGATACCTTTGCCCGGCCGAGCACATTCCTTCCAAGATTGAGGTGGATGTAAGTAATCTGGAGATTGGGGAGAGAATTTTCATTCGCGATATAGACGTCCATCCTTCCTTGAAGCTACTTAGCAAGAACGAAGTCATGCCTATTTGTAAAATAGTCACTACAAACCTGAAACCGGCCATCACAGAAGCTTCATTGCCTTCATGACTACTACGGATTCATTGGCATGTAGGTTCAGAATCATTTGGTATACTAAACAACTTATGGTTGAAGAGGCCAAAGAATAACATCCAGTTGGCTTCAAGTTAATCACAACTTATGGTTAAATTGTTATGTTCTTTGTATAAATTTGGAACCTTTTTTCCTGTTTCGATTCCTCGCTTTACTGACTTTTGATTTGCAAGCTGAGAATTTTGCTGAAGCTCAGGTTCATATTAGCTCAAGAGACCTCTTTCCTGCTGGATAAAAATTATCAGAGAAGATAAATGCTTAAAGAATTATTTATTACTGTAGGAAGGAAAAGGAATAATGATTGCACTAGAGATAAAACTGTCAAATTAATGGCCATTGCTAATTCTGAAATCTGTTTTGGTCTTGAAGTCTTTATATTCGCTCTCTACTTTGCTCTATAAATGACTTCTCTTGGTTCTTGTTCTTGTTCTTATTTTATTACATGCTATCAACATGATCATCTTCTACCACTTTACTTTGTTAAAGGTAGATTGTGTTGTTTTTGTGATTTGTGTTACGAACATTTTATGCATGCATTGTATATATATTATGGAGGCGTTGAGCGGAGTTATTAAGTACTGAGTTTTGTTGAGTTTAAAAGGTTTAAAAAGTTATTTTATCTGTGGAGTAAAATAATGTGTGGGTTGAGGTGTTGAGTTGTTTAGTTTAGATTAAGAAAGTTTGTGTATTTAATGCAAAATTGTTTAGTTTGAGTTTAGAAAGTTATTTTGATTTCAGAAAATTGTGTTGGGAATGTTAAGAGTTATTTAGCATGATATATAAGAAAGTTGGTGTTTGGAGTACATAATTATTTGGTTTGAGTTCTTTAATATAAAGTCGAGCTTTGTTTATTATATATCTTTTTTTTACGCTTTAAAGAAGTCTATAGAGTCTATTCATGTTCTAAAATCCACTGTTACCATTTTTCAGTGTCAATTGGCATAGAATAGAATGTAGAGAGAATTTATTAGCTCTCTATCAGTGAACTCAGACGTTCATTATGAGTAACAACGTACTATGAGTTGATTGTCAATTGAGAACGTAGATTGTATGCGACAACAACCACACAAAATGTATGGTAGGGATAGCGTACTCGCCAAGTTGAGAATGAAAAATAGACCGAACAACTCCAACTGTGAAGCCCCAGTGGCAGTCGAAGGAGGTTCGACGCCTCTAAGGTGTGGGTCAAGGCTCAAGAAGACCGACACCGAGGTTGGCTAAAGGCCTACATGGCTGACCCCTTGGTTGGTATAAGGCCACCGAGCTATGTCTTGAATCTATATTTCAAGGAAAGCTAGATTCTAAGGAAATCGATTGAATAAGCTGGCTATTGATCTCATCAACAATGAGAAAAGTGGTGGCGAGTGATGCTCCCAACATAACACATTATGACCTACATCAGAGATTCAATAAGTCAATCTACCACTGTAATAGTCTAAATCCACTGCTAGCAGATATTATCATCTTTGGACTTTTCCTTTCAGGCTTCCCCTCAAGGTTTTTAAAACACGTCGACTGTGGAGAGGTTTCCACACCCTTATAGAGAATGTTTCGTTCTCCTCTCCAACGGATGTGGGATTACATAATCCACCCCCTTTAGAGCCCAATGTGAGATCTCACATTGATTGGGGAGGAGAACGAAACATTCTCAAAACCTTGAGGGAAAGCTCAAAAGGAAAAGCCCAAAGAAAACAATATCTGCTAGCGGCAGGCTTGAGCAGTTACAAAAAGTTATAATGATAACCTTGTACTCACATTGGAGGGAAGCTCGAAAGGAAAAGCCCAAAGAAAACAATATCTGCTGGCGGCGAGCTTGAACCGTTACAAAAAGTTATAACGATAACCTTGTACTCACATTGTTACATGGCCAACAAGGCTGCGGAGAAGGATAGTCATGAAAATCCTTGGCCAAAAAGCTCCATCCAGATGAACAGTGAAGTCAAAAGTATCTCAAAGCTCAATGAATCATGAATTTTAGGAACCGTTCTTCAAAGAATGTTCCCTTTAATTTCATATCTCAATCATTGGCTTCAAGAATTGTGGTATCAAGTACATAACCTGCATTTTTCATCTGCACAGTTAATTCATTCAAAGCTAAATAAATTAAATCACTCTCCTCATGGACTCTGTCTCTTGAAACAAACACATGAACTTCACCGTTCACCTCAATCCAACTCTGTCCAGGTTCTTTAACTACACCATTAACATCCATTTTCAACCTCAACCTCTTCACATCTCCCCACATACTTTTAGATGCAAAAATATTCGAAAGCATAATATACGATCCACTGTCCATGGGGTCGATCGAGATTGCCATCGCTGCAGCATGTTTTGCTAACTCGATGTTGCCGAAAACTCGGCATGCACTGAGCAAGCTTCTCCATACTAATGCTGCAGGTCTTATTGTCATCTTCTCAATGAATTCTCGAGCTTCAGATAACCGACCTGCTCTACCCAAAAGAGTAACGACCGAAGCGTAATGTTCCATTCCTGGTTCAATTCTATATCTGGCCATTGAATTGAAATGTTGAAGGCCATCTTCAACAAATCCAACATGACTGCAAGCTGTTAGAACACTCACAAAAGTGACATAATTGGGAGTTATGTCATTGTTCATCATTGTTTCAAACATCCTAAGAGCTTCGTCTGCTTTTCCATGTTGTGCATACATTGAAATCATCGAGTTCCAGCATGTCGTATCTTTCCATACTGAGGAGGAAAATGTTTTTTCAGCTTCTTCCACACTCCCACACTTAGCGTACATATCGACAAGGGCATTCGTGATGAAAGCGTCTAATCCGAGACCCATCTTCAAGACTTGATTATGGAACTGTTGACCATGCTGGAGACTTGCCAGGTTGCTGGCTGCTGTAATCAGGGCTGCAAAAGTAAACTCATTTGGCCTTTCTCTTGAAAATTGTAAATCCGTGTATAGTTCGAAAGCCTCCTCACTTTCGAATTGTAGGTTATACCCAGAAAACAGTGCATTCCAAACAACAATGTCTTTATTAGTTGTCTCTTCAAACACATACCTAGCATCTCTAATGCATGAACATTTAGAATAAACATCTATAAGAGCACTGCTAGTGAACTTATCTAAAGAGACCCCATATTTGATGGTAAGGCCATGGATTTGCTTGCTCAATTGCAAGCAGAATAATGCAGCTGACATACCTAGAAGGCTTACAAATGTTAAAAAGCTTGGTGAAACATGTTTTACCCTCATCTCACGGAAGATTTCCAATGCTCGATCCAAGTACTCTTGTCTCGAGTATCCTTCAATCATTGCATTGTACGAGACCACACTGTGACTAGTCGTGCCATCAAAGACTTGTTCTGCATCGTCCAAGGAATTGCATTTTGAATACATGTCAATTAAAGCATTTATCACAAAGTTATCATGTTCAAGACAAACCTTAATAATATAAGAATGTATTTGTCTTCCATGTTGTAAAGCATCAACTGAACCACATGATGTAAGAATGCTTGAACAAACATACTCATCTGGCTTCCATCCCATTCTGAACATTTCACTACCTAGTTCCACAGCCTCCCAATCATATGAATTTTGCATGTACCCGGATATCATGGTAGTCCAAGAAATAATATTCTTGAAATCCATTCGATCGAAAAGTGCTTTCCCAGCTTTCACTCTACCACATTTTGTATAGAAATCTATAAGAACGTTATATGTCGACACATCCATCTTTGTTTCTCTTCTCAGAACATGAGCATGAATTTGCTTACCGCCTTCCAGAAAACCAAGCATTGAACACGCATTTAGAACGCTAGATAGCACATATTTATCAGGCACAACATTACTTTCTCTCATTAAGTTAAACAATTGCAATGAAACCTCACTCCTTCCACTTTTTGTGTACCCTGTAATAATAGCAGTCCAAGTCACAGCACTCTTCATGACTAAACCATCAAATATCAATCTGGCTTTTTCTATCTCACCGTGTTTTGCATACAAGTCGATCAACGAAGTTCCTACATAAACATCCTCATCAAATCCTGCTTTAACAATGTAACTATGGACCTGGGAGCCAGGTTCACCACCATCACGTTGAACACAAGCTCTGATAGTGCTAGCTAAAATATATTCATTCAGATTATGATCCGAGGTCCTCCGAAATTCCAAGAAATATAGCAATGCTTTTTCGTTATAGCCTAATCGAGTATACATAGAAACCACTGAAGACCAAGATACTAGGTTTCTATTAGGCATTTTGTCGAACAATGTCCCTGCATCAAAAACACTCCCAATTTTGAAATATGAATGCAGGAGAAGGTTTGATAAAAACACATCAAATTGTAAGCCCCACAAGACAACTTGACAATGAACTTTCCTGTAGTATAAAATCGATTTGTTTGAAACAGGAACGAGCAACAGATTGGCAAGTGCCTTCCCT